ATAGGACAGTGAAAAGACTGGAAAGTTTCTTACTTAGTGTCTGCTTGTCTGGTTTTCTAGGCAGGAGCGCAGTCCAATTTGGGTTATCTTCTTGATTTCATTGATCTTCCACTTTAGAACAACCTTCTAATGGGAAAATACAGGAAAGGAAAAAATAAAATCTTAGAACCTAACAACCTTCTTTTTTCCCATATAGAGAAAGAGTCACAAAAGTATGATCTAATTCTTTCTGCTTTTTCCTTTGGGAAATCTCTTCTTTAGATTCCCAGCTAATCCATCTCTTCCTTTGGGGAAACCTGGTAACTATTTTATCTGTATTTGGTAGGAGAGGGTCTCAGCACCTCAGGAAGACCTGAAGTCCTGTTTAAGACCTTTGAAAGCTTCCTCATTGGTAGGCATCAAAGAGAGCAGCAGGTACTTGTGCAAGAAGGGAAGCATTTGGAAGGCAGGGGAGAGTGACAGAGAGCTGTGTGAAGAGCAAATGGATGGTGGGAGGAGTGTGGCAGAGGGATGGGGCCAGAAGAGTGGCAAAGAGAAGCATGTCAAAACAATTGCTGAACGGATTGGAGGCTCTCTCTCTTTTGCCCAGAGGCTGTGTGTTCCCTGCCTAATACAAATATGATACACAATAATCATTTCTTCCAAATAACATATTCACCTTCTGTGCATGCTGATGATAAACAGTGACTAGATGTCTCACTGGCACTTTGGCTCATGAGACAAACCAAGTGTCAGCAACCCACTGGTAGCAATTGAGAAATCTTCAGAAAATGTAGCATTTTTAAAATGTAAAAACTGAAGGAAGCAATATGCTAGAGAACTACTATAAAGTACCTGAGCTATAAGAGTTGTAGCTTCTTGTGTTCTTCATGAAGAAAATATCTGTGGCCAAATGAATCATAATGTATCTGATTGAAAGAAATTTTTTTAAAAACCCTTCTGCTGCTGCTCTACTACTGCTTTTGCTGCAGTAATGAATGACATTAGTAATTGTTTTCTGTTTCTAAGCACACAGGAGATTTAGACCACCATTGCATTTCTTAAGGAATCTATTTCTTTCCATTTATTCATTAGTAAATATTAGCTCATGAATGCTGATAAAATTGCTCCCTTTTCAGTCATCTGATTTTCTACTTGCGAAATGGCAATTTACATTGTTGAGATATAGCAGTTCCAACAATGTTATCATCCAAGTGCAAGCAGCTAGTGAATTTTTAGAGGCTGTTTCAGACAGGCCTGCATGTATGGGAGTCTGCTTTTATCACTAGCTAATAAATGCTTCATCTTTGCCTGTAATTGTGGCAGAATGGAAACGGTGCTTAGGAGCCTGGATGTGAGATTGCAGCAAATGGCTGCAACCTATGTTTAATGTAGTGACACTAATGAATTCTGAAAATTAATTTTCAGCTAAGAAAGCATGATGGAAGATACTAGAATTTCAAATTAGGTAATGAATTAGCTTTCATCAGAACCAACAACATGTACAGTGTTTGTTTCCTTTTCAGTCTCTTTGTATTAGCACTGCACATTATTTTAGATCCAAAAAATTGCAAACCACCTCTGATCATATTTTCATTATACCTTATGTGAAACTCATATTGCAGTACATTTTCTATTCAATTTGCTCCATGTGAGGAAGTCTTACCATGTATGTTTTATATTATATAATTTCCATGGCCCAAATAAATTTACTTAAATTGCAGGTGCACCACATTTTTTTTTGTTTTATATATAATTGCAATATGTTTCATGTTGGACAGCTAGCTTAGGCACTCTCAAAATTGGTCTTAAATGAATTTATCAGGTCCAGATGAATATCTGAAGATACTACAGTTTTTCTCCTTTCTTTAGAAGCAAATCCTCCAGTGATGTTATTTCTTAATATTTACACATACAATGCACACTGAGACTTCTTTGGCCATGCTGAATAATAATATTTTCTGGTAAGTGACATTATAAAAGCTGCTCAGTTACTGTACTCTTCCTCTAAAATGTTAATAACGTTAGGTTTCAAAGTTACGTATTACTTCTTGATTTCTTTTTTCTGTACTTTATGAAGAATATGTTTCTTGTTTGGATGTACTGATTAGTTATGACAACTGTGAATGCAAGCACCCGTGTACCCATGTGATTAATTTTTTCACGTAGTTCTGTTTCAGGCATGTAGAAAGTGCTGTAATAAGTCACCTTCATGAAGGCTTTAACATCAAAGCGATCAATATGCTATCCTGCATTAATGTTTTCTGTAGTAAATCGTTTCCAGTGTAGATGATCCCTCATGGAATACCTGCAGTGAGCCTGATGTTCCCTTTTTCACCAACTCATAAGTGGTGGCCCAAGAATAGTTAGATGTTATTTACTAGCTCTTTGCTTTGTTGTGGCATCCCAACAATCATTAGAGAGGGCCTACTTTTTCTGATAAAGGCACAAGCTTTGCACAATCTGAGCTTCAAATGGAGACATTGATCCCGGAATCACAGGGATTTGTCTTTTGTGTCGCTAGCTTAGTCATCTTATACATTCTTGAAGTTTCACTTGTGTTTCAAGTGAATTCCTAAGTGGCCACAGATTGCAAAAATATCCTGCTACCAAAAACTAAAATCTGCATATAGATGAAAAAATATATAAAAAGTAGTTGCAGAAGACAGGGACGTGACAAGAATATGCAACAGAAGCAAAGGTAATCAATCCCTCATGTAGCCTTCAAGATGTTTTCACTGACAGAACTTATTTGTACTCATTAAAATGTTTGTCAGACTCAGAGAGCTAGGATTTCAGGCACACAATGCAGAAGCTAAGAACTTATTTCCCTAAAATATTTCCCTTCCTCTCCAAAAACTTCTATGAATGCAGTATCTTGGATATTTGGATGTTTCATGTCCTATATGGAAAAAATTTTTCTTGCCACTTCTGGATCTTGTCCATAGGGTATCTTTGGAGGTGCATTGGACCAAAGCTCAGAGCAGAACTTACTGTAATAACTGCATAACACAGGGTAGAAGATTTTAGCATTTCTTGTGAATGGTTCTATGTGGAACCATGTAATTTCGTAAGGAGATTTCATTTAATCTAACATATTGTTACTATCTAAAAAGTAACTCCAGCCATGTCTTCCCTTGAATTCAATTATATTACTTTAATATTTCAGATGTATTCAAATGAAACAGGAGTATTTATATATTAGCAATATAAAATACATGATGTGAATTTCTAGATGCTGTTAGTAAAAAGCAAGAGCCTGTGAGCTTTTCAGACTGACATATGCATGTCAAATACTTGCCATTAAGTCGTGATTTTTGTATAGTTTTGCATTTTCTTTTCTTCTGCCTATCTGATTAATGGTATCTTCCTTTTAGATGCTTTTTTCATTTTGCACAGAAAGCACATAAATATAACCAGGATTGGCATGGACTGTATAGTCTGTGTGGGTGTACTGACAAAAAACCATGGATAACAGCAGGAAAGGAGTGTGTGGTGGGGATGTCTGAACCTGTTAAAGGCCAATGATGGATCTTTCTTCATGGGAGGACAGGAGCTGTATTTATAGCTTTGTACTCTGAAGGAAGGAGATAACACAGTTTTGTTGGTAGCCTTTCTATCAGGAGGCCTTAGTTCAGTCTGACAGCAAAACCCACCAAAACAGTTAAACTGGCAGCAGATTTTAGAGACTGTCTTTTCTGGACTAGATGTAGCAAGAAGAGACTGAGAAAAAGTTTTTCAGGAAACTAAAATATTAAATTTATGTCCAAAGACATTTCAGGATCATTTTCAGACCTGACTTAGACTTCAGTAAAGTATTTGAGGTGAGGCTAAATTTTATTCATTTTCTGATGTATTTGATAATGTTTAGAATTAGTTAATGTGCATATATTAAATATTATTGATTTTTTTTTTTTTATAATTGCATTGATGCTTCTAGAATATCAGTTGTTCTAAAAGGTATTAAAGTTTCATTGAATTTGGGGGTGAAAAGATAATGTTTATTTGTTATATTTGCCCCTGATAAGGAAGTACTTCAGATGTGACACTTAATAGCAGCAAATATGAAATGTAATTTTGAAGTATATAGTATGAATGTATCTCATCAATTAAACTCATCTTGGACTACGATTCACTGAAATGAATATGGAATTGCAGGTTTTCTTTCTCACATTACTATAAATGTTTTTTTATGTAACTGAGATAAACAGAATGTAACTTTCATATAAAGAAGAATTAAAGGGTACTTTAAAGCAATCTGATCATTTTTCTGTTTGGACTGTATTATTTAAACTTTACTGTACAGAAGAGAATTCTAGTTTAATCATGACCTCCTCAGTTTTAAATCTTTATTATAGAAATTAACATTACACTTTATGCTAATCTAATAGGATACAGCTCTCTACTACTTGATCACCTGTTTCTATCACAGACTGAACTTTGGTACCCTGACCAGCATTTAAATCTGACACTCATTTCTGTTCCCTTTTGAATTATGAAGGTTTGCTGAATTTTCTATGATTCTTATGCTAACAACTTAGAATCACAGTATAGGAGCTCTATCTGATGTATTGCAAGTTTTGCTTTAAATTTTATTAGGCTGTGTCCTTAGGTTCTTGGTCAAAATGCTCACTGGAGAGTAGGTAGAAAATTAAAGTGAATGAAATATTGTCTATTCATCTTTGGTTATGTTTGGTGTCTATTAACTGTGCAGCAATTACAATGTCAATTTTTCATAGTAAGCTAGTTGCAGTTTTCCAAAAAAAGACTGAAATAATCTAAGATTCATAACCTTTATAAGTAATATAGTTGCAGGATGAATTTACTTAGTTAAGTATTAATGTCAGCTTTATTCCAATGTGAGAAGAAAATTTTCTCTGCATACCCAGGAACTCTGCGTACTAAGGAATTTGTGGAAAAAACAAAACAAACTGTGCAATAACAACTATGTGAAGTAAACCAACTCAAGTCATGGTGTAATGAAATAACATAATTGCATGAGACCACTATTTCTGTCTTAGGTGTCTTATCAAGGATTTCGAGAAACGTCCTACTGTCACCCACCTTTTGGAGCATCCATTTATTAAACAAGTGCATGGTAAAGATATGTCTCTGCAAAAACAGTTGGCTGAGCTTATCCAAGAACAGCAGCGACTAGGCTCTGTAGCAAAAACAAGGTACTGTACAACACATATGCAACAGCCTTCCTTCCCAAACAGATATTTACTGTTTCAAATGATCATATTAATGCATTGACTAATAATATCATTAGCCAAAGGTGTGGTATGCCATGTGAATGCAAGAAATATGCTTTCATATTGCTAGATTTTAAAGCAACAAGCTAAAAATACAAACTTTTTAACCTTCTTTCTCCTCCTGAACTCTTATTTTATATGTATCTGCTCCTGACTTAATCTCAGAAACGCTTGAAATTCCAAAATGTTCTGGTCTATGGAAGTCTTTTTATCTTTTGGTATGAAGAAACTTCTATTTTGGTACATGGTGAACAATGAAGTTGCTGTTAGAAAATGTTAAGAATAGATTTCCTTTTGATTAGACACTAATGCTAAGTAGGTTATTCAGTACTTAAAATATTGTTTTGCTTGTAGTTTCATAACAACTGCTATTTTTCATTCAGTCTAGCAATTAATTTAACTATGTTAAAAAACAATGAATATGATTTTTTTTGGTTTGTTTTTACTTTTGAGGCTGATAATGTATGTCTTAGTTTAGCTGTTGTCCAGAGGGTGGCAGGATTTCACTGCCTTTAGAAAGAATTAAATGCAAATGAGCACACCTTCCCAAGCTCAGCAATCATTCTGCAATATGAAATTTGTCTACCATGAGATAAGCTCTAGCTTATTATTATAAACAAACACGTACTAATGTTGATGGAGAATATTAAATGTCGTGATTCACAAGTCATAAACATGTATATGCTTATATGTGATTAGACTCTGTAGCTTAAATGCTAAAAGCACAAACAAAAATGTGCAAGTTAGAATAATAGAGTAGCTGTAAGTAGAGTTTCAAGGTGAAGCTGACTTCTGTTCCTCCTCTCCCTCAAAAAAGCGTATCAGAGATTATGTAAGGGTGCTATGCCAGCATTCATTGTATGTTCCTGCCGCGTCTTTCCCCGGAGCAGGCCTTCCTTGTGGTCAGATTACTTACAGCTGTGGCTTGAATGGCACAGAAAGTTTTGGAGTTTTCCCAGCTGTTGACCAAATAAAAGATACAGTGTGTAAATGATCCTTGTACTATAAGGAACTCAAAGTGTATTTCAACAAATTACTCTGGTATCTGGCTGTGCAATGTAGGATGAGAAAGAGTCAAGATCAAGCCAGCATTTATTTCCTCAAGTCTGTCCATAAACTAGTCATGTAGCTCACAGACAACTTATTTCTCATCACTAATAAAGTGAGAATTTCACCTTTATGAGCTCTGTTATAGTCTCTCCTCTACTCTTAAACCCCTACTCTCAGCATACTTTGTCCCCACCATATTCTTTCCTGGTCTTTTGTTTTGCTTTTCACTATGCCTCTGAATTATGCTGAGTACTAAGAGGCAGATGCAAGATCAGGTAGCTAGAGAAATCTTTTACCTTCACTTTGAAGCCAATATATCGTAGAACTATTATTAAAGAATCATAAAATCACAGAATGGTTAAAGTTGGAAGGAACCTCTGGATTCAACCCATGCTCAAGCAGGGGTGCACAGACAGGGAGGGTGCCCAGCATTGTGTCCAGAAAGTTTTTGAACATCCCCAAGAATGGAGACTGCACAACTTCTCTGGGAAGCCTGTGCCATCCTAATAGTAGAGCAGTGCTTCCTGGTGTTCACCTGGACCCTCTTGTGTTTCAGGTTTCATTGCCCCTTGCCCTGACACTAGGCACCACTGAAAAGTCTGGCTCCATCTTCTTTCCACCCTCCCTGCAAGTATTCGTATTCATTAATGAAGTTTGCAGTTAGCCTTCCTTAGGCTGAAAAGTCCCAGCTCTCTTAGCCTTCCCTAATAGGAGAAAATAGAATGCCTTTCTGATTTTTTTGGATCACTGTAACTTTATACTACAGCTCCATTGCTAGCTCCTTAATTTTTTTTTTGAAGCACTGCCCACTGTGATCAAGACAAAGAGTGAGGACAAAAATTTAGTATGCTCCAGCATTGAAATATACGATATATTGTTCTGAATGATGAAGTACTGATTTTTCAAGTGACTTGATCAAACTGGGGCAAAATTTTGTAAGACTGGAAAAGCATATGCATGCAAAAGACCAAGTCTGTGTTCTGTTTTGCAGAATCTCATAATATTTCCAATAGTAAAAATCAACCTTTTTTTTTCCGTATTCTAAGAAGCAATTTAGTAAATAAAGAATAAATTTTAAATAATTAGGATTTTGAAGGCTAAAAGCATCTGAAATCTTTTTCTTATGTTAACAAGTGTTGGACTTCTGTAATGCTACCTGCCTTGTTGCTGAATGTTCTGTTGTAAAGCCCTACACTCAACTGCAGGTCTGAAAATAGCAGTTTTATACTCCCAGAAGTAGGAAAGTTCTAAATTTTAAGTAGGTACTTGCTACCAGCTAGTTAATGTTGGACTATAAACAAAAGATTATTACAAGAGAATCAATCACCATCTAATTATAATATTCCCCAGAGGCATACGCTCAGTCATCTCATAATCTCTGTAATAGAAAGATTTATCCTCTAGGAAAAATAGTAGCAGTGAAAAGCCTTAAAAATTCTGTAATGCCTTTATAAAATAATTTTCAATGCAGAATCTGATATGCAGAAGAACACATGACCAGGTGGTGCTTTAAAAAAGTTTACTGGCAATCATTTCTGGTGATCTCTTGAAGTGATCTGAGTGTATAATCACCACTTCAAAGTGATTAAAACCCAGGCTGAATAAAACCTTTCTATTATACCACTGGGTATATGTGCATGCTCTTTTTCTGTTTATTCGTGTACACATGACAGTTTGAGTAAAATGTGCATTAATTCTCTGGTGCTGAGAGATAAAGAAAAGTAGATGCCTTTTTAGAAACATAGCAACACTACAGATCAGTTAATTAAAAGATGAGTTAAAGAATATTTTCTTTCATTTATACAGCCATAGATCTCACAGAGTGTATGCTGAAAATTTCCAGAAACTAGAAAATCATCAGGACACTGATGTTAACAGCACTTCTACTGTGAGGGAAGTCAGGGGGTCAGCAGTGATGACAACTGATCAGGAGGTGTCTGGGTTTCGTCTCACATGAAAGTCTTCCAACATCAGAGCACTCTATATCTTTTGATGCTTTACTGACTCAGCAGTTGTGGTGCTTTTAAAAATTTATTTATAGGATTCTCTTTCCAGTTGAACCATCCCAGTTATGTCTATTTTGGGACATCACTTAAGATCATTGTGCGGAGAGCAAGACTGAAGGCTAGAAATTCAGTATTACTGATTTAGAGATAATGAAGGACTACGCTTGACTATAATTCAAGTTATTTTTCCACAATCTGTGTAGGAGATGGGGGCAGGGATATTGAGGGAAAAAATACCGATGAGTACTAGATGAAATCAGGAGAATGAAAATGAAGCTTATGATGTGGTTAGACCAGATGTGCCGAGCTGATTTAACAGCTCCCTACCACTGACGGGAGTGGTTCCCCTCATATTTTGTCTTTGACTTACTTCTTCAGCTTCACTTTCAGCTGGGCAGTACCACTCCTTGCCTAATCTGGGCTCTGGTATTCACATGATTCTTTGGTGAGTCTCCCTGGTTTGGTGTAGTAAACTTGCAGAAAATGTCACATGCATTATTAATCTGCTAGTATAGGGAACTGGTTAAGCTTGGGAAGGGGAGGTGGCTCATGGCAGGTACAAAAGGGACAAAATCTTTCAGTTAAATTGGTGCAATCCACCTTTTCTAACCACACCATTATCTGTGAGGAAAGGTTTGAGCGGATAGGGAATATAATCATTTTTCCTTGCCAAGTGATGTTCATGTTCAGGCTGTTTAAGTGGCAGTTACTTTTGTGGCGTTGCCATGCTATATGCAAAGGTGTGGTTGCAGTAAGCGTATAACTGGGTCTAATCTGAGCATCCAGTCGGCTTACTAGCTTTGACACACTTGTTCTTAATTATATAAATAGAAGTATAATGATTCATTTGAATTTTTTCACAACACGCTACTAGAGACAAACAGCCCCTAAAAGCACTTTTAAGAATTTTATTATTAACTATTTAAAACAATATGTGCATAAAGGTCTAAATTGCCACCTAACCACAAGATCTAGTTAATGCCGTGAAAGGAGGTACAAAGGCATCTCTAATCCACTTTCCAGCTTCCAGACAAGTCTGGACAGGTTTATTTCCCAATCCACAATGCACTGGCATCAGAGTGCTGTTATGATGTTTTAGTGTGAGATCTGAGTGATTATACTTACCGGGAAGCTTTAGGATGTATTGAGTGCGTCATAGATCTGTGTTAATCTCATTTGAATCTCTCCTAGCACTGACTTGCTCATTTTGGCCTAGAGCATCCTATAAAGGTAGTAGTTTACGTTAAAGAGGCAATTCCTTCTGCCCTAAGGAAACCTTTATCAGCACTGTGAGTTTACTTCCCATTGTTATATGACACTGTAGCCAAAGATCTGTTCTGAAATGCATTAGTGATTTTAACTCCAAGCGTGAGTCCACAAATGGGCTCAGGTCATTGTTTTGTCCTACTTTCCAGTAGCCGTTGGGCTTGTCTGATGTCTCAGGGAGTTGACTGTGTTCACAAAATGAGAAAGCCAACCTGGCAAAACCAAAGAAAATCAGGACTGCTTTTCTTCTGTTTTGGTGAGCCTGTTTGGCTCACTGAGGGTTTGTAGAGGTGATGAAGCTGGTGCAAAAGAGCAAGGAAAACTACAGCACTCAGAAAGGGGAGTTGGCAAAAATTCTTTGGCAAAGAGTTTTAGATTGCAGCTCACATTTCTCAACTGTGTTCTAAAGATTTGATGGAGAAACGTGGGGAGTTGTTCTAGCAGTTCACTGCTACTAAAAAGGGAAGAACTGGCTTACTTCTTCCATTTTGCTGCAGCTCCAGGAACAAACTCCTTATGATTTTCTACTGTGTTAGTGACTGCAGAGAGGGGTTCCTCAGCTAATTTAGTTGAAGTAGCAAAGGGATTATCTCAGGTGAC